TGAACCGCTATTAAACTACGGATACAATTTTCAAAAAATACATAGTAAAGTAAATGACACTGAACCTGATACTGAATGATATAATTCAATGATACTGAATTGCAATACAATTTAATGTATTAATTCTATGTGATGTTTGGATTGAATAAGATTGGTGTAGTTATTTACATTACCTATCAGATGGATACTGACCTCTGTACCAGTTTCTAAGAGCTGTCATAACAAAGAATCGGATAGCCTGGTTTGATCCCTGTTTTAAAACAGTGGCCGCGAGACCCTGATACGTTCCCCGGAACCCTGAAAGAAATGAACACAATGAAATGTGTGTCACCGGCACCAATTAACACACATCACCCCCATAAATCCACCTGGGGGCAGAATATGTACATTTATAAGCATATGTATAACTACGTCTATCAATCCACGCATCCACCTTCCAGGCCATCATCCAGTACAGTGTTGTGTTGTTAGCAGTTACAGTATCTATCATGTTCTTTCCTCACCTTGACTTCTAATGATTTCTTTAACACCTTGGAAGAAACCTCTGTACTTTGGTTTGCAGGAACACTGGTCGTGGATGAATTTTACATTGAAAATATATGGCAAGTTATTGGAAAATTGAAACACAAAGATTGAGATTTCCACCCATTTAAGGGAGTCCAGGGGGGTGTATTGACTGGTTTTGATTATTGGGGGGAGTTACAACCCCCTGCCCCCCTATTGTTTATGCCCATGGTCTTGAATATGTAGTATTTTGGTTTAAAATCGAGATATTTAATGCTAGACTATCTGAGCTTAATGGGAATAAGTCAGCTAAAGGAATTCCTGAAAACACGACGGCGTGAATCCCTCGCTTCTTACGACGAGAAGTGCAGCTAAGCTGCTGGAGATGCACTGACAAGCTGGGGCTCACATTCAGCGTCTCCATGGAGCAAACCTCCAGCACCGCCTCGGCCACGCCCACCCCCAGCCCACAGAGCAGCCCCCTCCTGCTGTCCAGCCGGCCCGACTCGTCCTGCATCTTGCTGCTCAGGAACTCGAAGACTCCGAACCTAGAGCACACTGCGGGATTCAGCGCCTCTGACCATCTGTGGATATAACTCATCTGCAGCGTTTGCATCACAGAGCGGATGTTTGGCCGTTTCAGACCTGCGTTTTACCACAGCTGTGAGAAGGCAGCACCCACCTGAGACCCCGGTAAAGGCCCCTCACCCCGTGCTCCCGCACTGTCTGCTGTACGCAGTGCACTGTATGGGAAGGCGAGGCAGGGGCACGCTCAGGCCTTGTCACTGTACGCAGTGCACTGTATGGGAAGGCGAGGCAGGGTCACGCTCAGGCCTTGTCACTGTACGCAGTGCACTGTATGGGAAGGCGAGGCAGGGTCACGCTCAGGCCTTGTCACTGTACGCAGTGCACTGTATGGGAAGGCGAGGCAGGGTCACGCTCAGGCCTTGTCAGTGTGGCAGTGTGGCCCTGACGGTCCCATCAGCCTTGCTACATGTGGCTACTGAGCAGGGGTGTTGGAGGGGATCAGCACTGTATAGGGGGCCCTTAAAAACTGAAAATAACTTTCATACAAATTTGCTCTGTAAATTTTACTATGCCCCCCCCCCCCCCCCGGCAAATTCTGTCTACCCATTTTCTCAGATTGAAATGGATTGAAATTTTAACGAAGCTTTAAGGGAAAAATGGCCTTGAATTAAAGAAACAATGACTTGAATTATTTTAATAATTTAATAATTATCAATATTGTTTTATAGGGGAAAAAAATTAATGATAAAATATCACCCAGCCGTACATACGCCTACATTTACTTTTGTATCAAAATATCAGTGACTAAAACGAGACTAAAATATTTGGACTTTTTATTGACAAAAACAAGACTATAATTAACCCTTTAGTGCATTGCCCCTATGGTATGTAATATGCATACAATGTATTAGTTAATAACTGTGAGAGATAAAGTTATTCTGAAAATTCAAGGGGTGTGCATTGTCCCCCAGAGTCCCCTGATGAAAGCACACTTCATAGGACATGGCTGTCCCATTCGGTTTCAGAGCTATTAACCCTTTAGTGTGTTGCCCCATTGCACTTTAAATGGATGCAATACAATAATTAATAACTATTACAGACAAAAACAATCTGAAAATCCAAGGTGTGTGCATTGTTCCCTGTAGTCCACTGATCAAAGCACACTTCACTAGATGTGTGCCTGTCTTGTCTAGTTTTAAAGTTATTAACCCATTTATGTATTGTCCCATTGCATATTATACGGATACATTCGAACATTCAAAAATTAATTAAAATTCGTACGTAAAGCAATCTGGGAAACAAAGGGGTGTGCATCAGTCGCCATGAGGCCAAAATGCTAAACCAGCATGTCATTACAGCTAACAGCACCTATAATATTAGCTATTCACACGATTTTGCACAAATCACGAAATGGTTTGAAGCGCAAAAATAATCGTTGTGCATCGTTGTCTGTGTACTCGACAACAGGATTCTGTCATTAAAAACGTCCCACCTTACTTCCGTGAAAAGTTATTAAAGCTAGAAAACTGAATATCGAATATGAGGCTAATTTAACCGCGGTAGGACTATCCAGCATCGAAAGCGCAAAGTATTGATCGGGGGGTGCTGAAGGAGGACCAGTGTGTGTGTGTGTATGTATGTGTGGTTTCTGCTGCGGTACATGCAAGCGTCATATCTCACTCATCAGAAGACTTTTGTTAAGGTGGCACTGCGCTGCCTCATACTTATGCATGGGAGGGAGGACGTGATATCAAACTTAAGGCAGACTTAAGCTTGATTAATCCCCAAGGCTCAGAGAGGCGGTGACACTGTGTAGCAGTGCACTGTGTACCGCGCTGTTCTGACGCTATCAATTTCATTTACCAGTATGTACGGGTGATACGATCAAACACATGTCACTGATAAGCAGACTGACATCGACAGCAATTGTCACATACATTATCACTTTTTGCAGTCTTAAAGAACACCAGTGGCTCTACTTATGCGGTGAAAAGTTATACATTTGAGTTACCGTATGAATAAACGTTGTTTCACTTCTGTCACACACCTGTATCAAAGAAATAGCAATAAAGAAATCGTTATCTGCCTTAACTGCTTCACAAGATATGGGACACCGAGGTGTCATTTAAGAATAACTTCATGTTATGCACAGATTAGTTTGTATTTTTGGAAACGGTAATAAACAGTGTGCTGCACAACTAGTTTTCTTGCAAAAAAAAAATGTTTTTACGGTAGAAATGGCTCCTGTTTTAGTGGAAACAGAAATTCTATAAATAATTACTTGAGCGCGAGACCACTCAGCCTGTCGCCATATCACCGCCTGAAGCTGGTCAACCCGCCACTGCTACAGAGCTCACTGCTGTCCCACTGCGCACCATTCCTCTAGAGTCTGCTGGCATCACGAGGCTCTCGAGTGAAGCACGCTGGATTCCCTCAGCTCACCCACCACACATCTGCCTACCAGCTTCCCTCAGCTTGTTGCAGATCCACCCGCCAGCTTCCCTCAGCTTTTCACAGATCTGCCCACTGGCTTCCCTCTGCTTGTCGCAGATCTGCCTGCTGGCTTCACCGAGTTCGCCACACATCCGCTTGCTGGCTCCCCATAGCCCAGCACAGTCCAGTCAGCCATTCCCAGTTGTAAGAAAAAGAGGCGGAAGAAGCTAGCCGTTCCCATGGCCTCCGCCTCACCCAATCCAGTGACTCTAGAGCCTTGTCCTGAGGCCACTGCCGTGCCTCCAGAGCCTGGAGACCCCAGTGAGACCACTGCTGTCCCTCGAGCCCATCTTCATCTTCGTCAGTGGTGTCTCCAGAGCTCATCCACGCTGCTTGCGCACCCTCGGCTTCTGGCCCAGAGAGGGTCTCTCTGCCCAAGCCCCAGACTCCCGGTCCAAGAAGGGCCACTTCTCCTGCACCTAAACCGGCAGCAGCCGTACTTCCCAAACCAGAATCAGATGTTACGGCTGTGCCCTGTTCACCCCCAGGTAGCCCGGCTGTGCCCTGTTCACCCCCAGGTAGCCCGGCTGTGCCCTGTTCACCCCCAGGTGCCCCAGCCTCGCCCCATCCCCTGATGTCCCGCCAGCACCCGCCTCTTCGTCTCCTGACATCCTGCCGGGGCCCACCTCATCATCTCCTGACACGTCACTGGCACCCACCTTATCTCCTGTCATTGCCCTGGTATCTCCAGACCTGGAGAATCGTTCTGGAAGACTTACAGTGAGACCCCCAGGACCTTGGCCTGAGCCCTGCTCCGTGGGCTTCAGTTCAGTGGTCCGGAGGGGGTCCTGCCTCCCTGGGAAATTGGCCCAGAAGGACCCACAACTTACGTACTTCGCCCAGCTCCGAGGCTCAGAAGACTCCCTGGACTCCCATTGTTTCTGTCTGTTATGCCTCAGTTCCTATCCTGTCCAGCCTTTTAGTCTCTCCAGTGCTTCCTACTCCCGCCTCTGTTACCCCTCTACTTGTCCATCCTGTCCTGGTGTGACCTATTCTGTCTGTCTGTCACCACCTCTTCTCTTCCGTGGTCCCCGTTGAGGTCTAGTGTTTGTCCCTGGTGCTTGGTTGTGTCCCATGTTGCCCGTAGGTATGAACGTGTGAGTGTTCCCTGCGTTGGGCTGGCAGCCCATCCTGGTTTGTGCCCATAGCCCCGAGGATAGACTCTGGACCCCCTACAACCTGAATAGGACAAGTAGTTACAGAAAATGGATTGTTGTGTTATTATTATCATTTTATATTTTGTGTTTGGGTTTTTACATTTTTTCTTGCAAAGCACTCTGCGCACTCTGGCTTGAAGAGTGCTACATAAATAAAGTTTATTATTATGCTCATAATGCTAACTGGCTTTCGAAAACACCACCTATTTCAGTATTGGGCTTTTGCAATTTTGTGCATTGTTCATCTAAGCGAGTGCAACAGATATACCAACTAGAAAATATCCATAAATGCAGGGTAGTTTTGAAAAAATGCAAAGGGCCTTTGAAGTCTTTATATTTATTTTGAAGTAAACACAAAAAGAGAAAGTGTGTCTCAGCACGCAGATCATCCATCCTATCAATCATACTTAAAATGATAGGTACCGATACGTAGAGCAACAAAGGGCAAGCGATCTTTTGACCTGACAAGGGTGCACAATTAGGAAATTAAAATTATAATCATCAATAATGCGACGAGAGGTAAAAACAGAATCGCACAGCCATTCAGGCCCATGTAGAGGATTGCAGTCAGCGGCACGGATATGCTCATGCAGCAGCCACTGCACGGTGGCCGTCTGGATAAAAGCCACGACCCAGCCAATCTCTCCACCTCTTTGCATAGCGTTACTGTGTCCTATCAGTGTTACTCAACTTCAGTGATGATCCTTATGCAACCTCTGCTCAATTATTTTGCCTGTAAAGCATATCTGAAGCAAAATCACAATTTACTGAACTTAAAAAAAAACTCTATTTGATGTTATTAACGGGACATCGCAGTAAACGATTCAACCTCATCAAATCAACGATCAATGATATTGGATCCTTCAAGCTATTGAGATAACTGTTTAGAGGGGCCTATTTCAATCGATAAAATACAAGGAAAAAAAAGAAAAAATATATATTATCAATAGACCTTCCAGTACTGGCTTATGACACAGGGCCCAGTAAATTATTCAGTGAGGTAACTGGTTTTGGGTAAACCCAGGAACTTACACTGAGGATGTATTATTTAAGGGGGGGGGCAGTTCAACACATTTGTCACGCAAAATGCTAAGAGTGAATTATGGCCGTCTTTCCTTGAAACGCTCACCGTTCAGCTGCTGTTCCATCATTTGGGTCATGGTGACACTTGACCAGACCAAAACATTGGCTACTATAAGGTTTGCATGTTTGCCATGTTTGGTGGTAGGGCTTGGGCTGGGGGGGCTGGGGGGGGCTGGGGGATGGAGGTATTGCTATCTTCAGGAGGCGTTCTCAGCTCTTCATCACTTTGTTGCTCAATTTGCTCCTTCTCTACACCTCAAGCTCAAAGCCCAACCCAACTTTGTGCCCCCCAGTATTAAAGTTTTTGCCATCGATCAGCGCAGAAAGGGTGAGCTTCACACCTGAACCGGGGAAGGAAAGTGAGAGAGAGGTTAATTTAGACCAATCGTACCATAATTAGTATTCTTAATAGCTATATATTGATTATCTTGCATCACTGACAGCTTCTTGGAAATTTTCCTCTGGGATAAATACCAGACACATCATCCATACAGACATTTTTAATAGTTTAAAAATATAGTGGGATCAGGGCATCTTCGTCTGCTCAACAGAGGGTATTTTCACTGGTTCTGAAACAGCCAGTCTGGACTATGGTTCAGTTCAGTGGGAGAACCAGGGCCCACATTCAGCCCAGCACTGAGCCCACAGCTATTCTGCAGGTGATTAATTGTGCTCTAGGAAGCACCAGTTGGGCTCAGAGACCTGTACCTGGTTTTATTACAAAACTGTGAGTGAGGCATTACCTGGCCGCAGGCTATGCGTGTAGCCTACTCCAACTAAACTTGCGTTGTTAACTTTGGCCTGTAGGGGGTGGTAAAGAGAACATTATACAATATATATTCATATATCCACATGATAAAACGCAGAATGAATGCATCAGCTAACCAGGGTTTGAATGTATAGCTTTTGGGCACACAGGCAGCATTAAAGACATTACCCAGAGTGCACTGGGGCTCACGTATCTGGAAGACACTCACCGACAGAGAGGTGTCCTGGTCCAGCTGGTACTTGCCAGCGATGCCGAACCGCGTGTTGTTGCTTCCGGCAGTCCAGGCCAGGCTGACCGCTGTCTCCAGTTTGTCGTTCACCTTCTGGTAGATGGAACCTCCGAATTCCGTACCTTCGTTCCTGGAATGAGAAACGGTCCCCATGAGGAGCCGGGATCCCCAGACCCCCCCGAGGAACCCCCTGTCACGCCACTCACACATTGGTGTGCAGCTGGAAGTCGCCGGCCTTGTAGCCCAGCGCAAAGTTGTTCTGGACCAGCTTGGACTTGGCTGTGTCGAAGGCCATCTGATAGCCCACCAGCCAGCCCTCGTAGCCCAGCACCGTGGCGGCGTGAACCGTGGGCCCAGCGAAGTCGAAGTCCACGTCGCAGCCCAGGTTCACGTACTCCCGCTTATAGCCGGCTTTCAGCTTGCCGCTCTTCTTGCTGGGGGGGGGGGGAATAGGAGCGTTCTTACTGTGCCAGTCACACTGTCAATGAAATGCTGAATCCCAGAGCTCATGCCGCCTGCATTACCAGCCCTAAACACATTTAAATTCATGCTTTCCTAACACAGTTTACCAGGCACTAGGAAAGAACCCAAACGGTCAAAAACTTACCCTGTGTTTGGCACAAATGAGGTGTCAAAAGTCAGCTTCAAACCCTGAGCAAGCTGTAGTACGATTACAACAATAATTAAAAAGAATCTGTTAGCTTTGCAATACAGGTTGTATAGCAATTTTTATTTTAATCTGCCTGTTATTCACTGAGTTAAAGGAGAGGTGCACTGATATGACCTCAAGTCATATACGGCTGCAGACTCTCAGACCCCTTCCAGTTAAGGTGACACATGCACAGGGAACAAAAAAACAACGGTACTTTATCGGTTTCACAAGTTATCAAAGTGTAGATCATCTGTATAACGTTTGAAAAAAAATTCCTATGCATATATTTGTGCACGATCTTTGCTTCATAATTGTCAATCTATTTTAAATCTAAATGTTTAATATGTTTTAATTTTGTTTAATTTAAATTTAGTTTTTTGTGTTTTTTTTGCGTTTATGCATATAAATTAACACAACAAAAAACATGAATAACATTTTTTAATTGATATTGGCAGTTATCTATGATACTTTGTCAAAGTCCTGCATAGATATTTATTAATCTGGATATTAATTTAATTATTAGATTCTCAATCGCAAACAGTTTAATCCCGTTATAGTGGACTCACTTATAACTGAATATTGTCTATGACGGACGAAGCATCGGATATAGTGGACTCGCATATAACGGAATTTCGCTTATAACGGACAAACAATTTGGTCCCCCGGGCTGCTTTCAGGCTCTGCGTGGCGTGTCGGTGATATCCAGCGCAGATACGTACGTAGCCGGGATTATTAATAGTCACGCATCTGGTCAGGTAAAGTTGGATTACTACATGTACAATATAATAATCTATACCACAAGTGTGTCTGCCTAGGTGTGACATGAGTAAATGGTGTCCTGTAGTTGTCCTGTGTTCTGGGCATAAAGCAACTTTGGATATAACGGACTTTGGATATAATGGACTGTTTTGTCAGGTCCCTTGATGTCCGTTATAACTGGATTTTACTGTAATGTTTTGGAAACATTGTGTTATTCATTATGGATACGTAAAATACATTTACATCAAGTTTAAAATGGTACTGCAGCAATATCAATCATTTCAAACATGATGGTATTTATTGTTTTAATTTGTTCTCTTTTGCGTATGCGCAGTCCTAGGGTTGGCTTGAGAGTTGTGAATTGTTCAGCGCATTTGTGAGCTAGATGGATGAAGAGAGTGGTGGGCCTGAGAGTGGTGGGCCTGAGAGCGGTGGGCCTGAGAGCGGTGGGCCTGAGAGTGGTGGGCCTGAGAGTGGTGG